AGGAGATGGTGAAGCACAAACATACACCATTGAGATACCTCGAAACGGTTACAATGCGATGTTGAATGCTTCTGCTTGGGGGAACCATTAATTTGGTATTCTCTCAAAACCAGAGATGAAACAACCATCAAAAGGTTGATCACTACTGGGAAAAACACGGTTCAAAACACCTGGAAAAGCTGCCAACTAAAAACAGTGATAGTGATCCCGATTACACATGAAAAGCTAATGCACGTAGTCGAAGAATCAAAATACCCAGACCACGCCACACCCATAGCAGCACTTGTACCTCAAATTTATATTACGACCCTAGATACACACAGAGCATGATGCCAAAACAGCAAGCATTTTTCACTTCGCGCGACCTCATTTCTAAGCTTAACAAGCAAAATATGAAATTTGCCAGGCAAAAAAAAAGACACCAAAAAGTACAAATTTCTCTGGGACTGACAATCAAGCAAGCACGGCACCCGTTCCGGAATCGACATCAGGCGCCAAAAGTCGATGAGTCCGTTTGTAGAGAACTTTCAGTTGGTTTTTCAAATCGCCCAATTCTCGATATTTCGCTGCCATAGCTATTACAGCCTTTATATTGAGCGGTTGATGCGGTCGCATTTCGTCGGTTAATTTTTGTGGCCAATTTTCATTTTTAAGGATGGCCATCAGCTCCTCGGCTTTCTGTCGGCCATCGGATAAGTCTATCTTATTGAGAGCAATGACAGAAGGCTTACTCACAAGGCTGGGGTCGTACTTCTCCAATTCGATATTCAAAAGCGCAATAGTTTCCAGAGCACTCCGATATGGATTATTCAGCGACAGGTCAAATTTGAAACCAAGCACATCGATTACGAGCAGAAGGAGATCGCTGTATTCCAAATGCTTCAGGAATGCTCGTCCTCGGCCGCGATTCATTGATGCACCTTCGATTAAACCCGGCAAATCGGCGATTGACAAGCTGAACGATTCGCTGTCGTCGGCATCGGATTCTGACTGGAAGTCCTCGATATAAGCAACTTGGGGTTTCACAGTTGTAAAGGGGTACTCGGCAATTTTAATTTTTTTCTTCGGCACCAGCGCTTTCATTAGCGTCGACTTGCCAGCATTCGGGAAACCAACTAAG